AGTTTTGCATTGCGCTGGAACGAGAATCTCCCGCTCATCACCTTTGGCTCTCGATTATAATACTAGATGTAAAATAGTAACATAAAAACAAAATGAGGTAAAAACAGCTGTTCTACAAAGGTTCCTCACCGTCCTGTAACCCATCCCACTACACATTTTGATGAATTCCAAAGAAGAATCCCCAAGCCCAAACCGATTCGCTTGATCAGAGGGATTGCCGTCGTGTTACCTGAAATCATCGAGCCTCGTCGGTACAGAAAAGTAGTATTTAGCAGTGAGAAATACTGCAACCTGATGGCAAGGTTAAAATCGGTTGAGGATTTCTCAACGGCTCGTCGAGGATTTTTGCCTGTTCGGTTACGCTCTCCCGCGCGGACATTCATTCTCGCCATGCGCGAGCCGTCTGTGCTCCCCGCGCATCTACCTACCTGTGAGTCATTGCACCCTCGAATAAAATTGCTAACAATCCTTAAAAAAGCACAACCCAGGAAAGGTTTAAGTTGTTGAACCTTTCCAATTTTCAATATAAGGCTGCTCACCAAGTCGCAGATGTCCCACTCTGCCGGCTTCAAAGTGAGCAGAAAGAGCCCTATCGGCATCAACCGGAGCAACAGAACCGTTTCATCCGCTTCAGTTTTGTTCGCAGCGCCTATAATCACTTCTACGTGCTCAGTACTTCATTACCTTAGCACAGCCAGCATAAAATAACTTATTGATCTCGTATTCCCAGCAATTTCGTCGAATTCTTCCGATTTTTCCTTTATTGCGGCCCATTTATAACCACTGCTCTTTTTCGTGGGCGAGATCAACCTTTAGAAGCATGTTTTGTGATCCTATGGGGGGAGACCGATGCACCACTGTGCATCTCCTATTGGTCTGCCCTTCTCTTCAGCTACCAGATCAACGACGGTTGCGCGATGTATGTATTTCAAGATGCTTTCTCCTAGTCACTTATTACCTTGTAAACCGATCACCACCCATTTTCTTTAGGACCATGAGCTAAATTCACCTCCAGCGCCAAAGAGAAGAAAACGGGAATGTTAAAGAGACACAGTCGTGAAATGGTCGGTCAGATAGCCACATAAGCAATGATACCGGTCAAAATGACTGGCTCACTAGAGAAAAGAATATCGGATTGAAGGCATGGTTTGCGATTGAGCCCTCAGAAAAATCCTATTCCGGGTAGTACGGAAAGTGCATCAAAAGGTATCAAGTCTGCCTTGACAGCTGCGATCGCTTGAATGAGAGATCAGAGACAAGTTCTCAGGCTCAAAGGACCATGGTCCCGACAAATGTGTGGTAAAAACTAACCCATTGTCCATAGAGCACCGCCAATCATTGCCAATGGATAAAAACCGGGAAATCCTCGATACCAGAAGTCAGCGAATCCAACGCAAAGAATCGCCATAGCAATGATCCACTGAGCGAAGATTCCTCAAATAATGCTTTTTCAGTGAGAAATATTGGATATTGCAAAACAATATTTGTAGTGATTACGATGGCTGGAGGATGATGGGATTTCGATGATATTACTGAGAGTCATTGGTGGACGGGCGCTGAGAGGTGGTCCTACCCACACCTACGCCCAGGGGGGTTTACTCCACCAACGACGTCCAGTGGCGTCATCAAACCGCGTAGCCTTCCTGTCATCATGATCACTGCCATAGAAAATCCCTTAACGACTATAGCTTATTTTACTTGTGCAAAAACTGTATGGTTATCGAAAACCTATGAGAACCTATGAGTTCTTCAGAATAAGCTCATAAATTCATTGGATTGCAGTGCAGTGCCTAAAGTAGAAGCCTAATAATTTTGCTGAAAACTTTCTGTTGAGCTTTTGGACAATTAGGAGGCCTTCAAACCTGAAGATAAGCTTTTTTCATATCTGCAGGTCTCGGCGGGAGTAGATGGAATCGGAGAGAACGATTGCTCTGCCCGGCAAGATCAGTTCCTTTTGGGGTGCGGCCACGCATTCTACTTCCATTTCACATTCGCAGTGGCATTTGAATGCGATGTGGCCTATACAATGACTTGCGGGGGCCAGCCGATGTTCAAGTCAGTGTTTTTATCCTCCCAGACAAGTCTGGTACCAATTAACCGACCCCGGAGGGATGGAAGGCTTGGTTGGCCCGGGCGACTCACGACCCAGGATTTGATCCCCGGACCGCTCGCGTGGTAAGCGTGCCACTTGCCACTACACCACTTCCGTATTCTTGCAATCTCACTGATACGACCTACCAAAGTACACCTTTGGTATTACGGTCTTTTCCTAAGGCGGACTATGCAAAGCATGGTTGAACTTGTCAATGTCTCAACAGATGGCCATTTTGGTCACTGCAGATTACAATCGGCGCAGCGAGTATTGGCGAAATGGAACGCCAAACATGGAAATGGATAGAAGTTAGTGAGATGACGGCTGCTGTCCGAGCCATTAGGACTGCAGAGCGATGCAGGATGAAGTCAGCAGGGTACACGTAATGTAGTTAATGAGTTACGAGAAGGCAATAGGTCCACGAGGTGGGACAGGACTCCCAGGCTGCTTCTGCTTTTGGCGAACAGGCAGCTGCTGTCTGCTGCATCAGTATTGTCGTTGGGAACCGTACTTAGGGGAGGGTAAGGTGTAGAGGCAACGTTCTTTGCGCTTATGGGCTCCGTGAGCAAACGGTAATGTAACAGTTGAATATTGAAGCATACTGTACTGACCATCTCCAGTCTCAATTCGCCGGAGTGCAACAAACATCGAGCCAAAGAATATAGCTGCTACGCCGCAGGCTGCGATCCCGATGAAGAACGTCATCTTAAATTTACAGATTTACAAATAAGACTCACAGAAACATAGGTCGCGTTCATAGTTCGCGACATGGGCAATTAGGATTGTAATGGAGCGTTCATAGTTGGCGATCGTACGTGCGATTAGGCGATTAGGCGATTAGGCGATGATTCAAAAAGAAAAGTATACGTATCGATTAGGCGATTAGGCGAGTAGGCGAGTAGGCGAGTAGGCGATTAGGCGAGTAGGCGATAAGAGAAGGATACGTATTGATTTGTTGCTCCGCCCTGAGCGATCGCCTAATCGCCTACTCGCCTACAACGCTCTATGGGCGGAGCAAACCAATCAATACGTATGAGTCTTCCCCGCCTAATCGCCTACTCGCCTAATCGCCTAATCGCCTAATCGCACGTACGATCGCCAACTCTGAACGCTCCATAAGCGACAGGATAGTAGTAGAGCAGCATATTGCGCTGACAAGATTGGATACGTATCGATTGAAATCGCTGGAGAGTAGTAGATTGGGCGACTTCAAGCGAATAGATCAATACATATCTAATCTTGTCAGCGCACTATCCTGATCTACTACTATCTAATCCACTACTATCCTAATCTCCGGAGTCGCGAACTATGAAGGCGTCCTATGTTTCTGTGAGTCTTATTTGTAAATCTGTAAATTTAAGATGACGTTCCTCATCGGGATCGCAGCCAGCGGCGTAGCAGCTATATTCTTTGGCT